TTTTAATTTGGGATATTAATAATCTTCAGATGCACTAATCATGATGCTAATGAAGATGTTAAAACTAATGTACATTCAATTATGATGGCGATCTTTCAATCATACATATTTCACATATTATTGATATAAAAATATTCTGATATGAAGGCGTGAACACCAAATGAAAAGGGAAAAAGCAACAACCACGAATAAGAAGGAAATAAGTTCCGATAGTACTGCTTCTATTAGTAGTAGATAAGGACGAAAATTTAAGTCAGTAGCAACATGACAAAAAAAATTGAAGGAAAACTCAAGGCCCAAGAAACAATTATACATGTTATTGAACTGTTAATTACTATCTTTAAATTTTATTATTAATGTATGCTCATATTGAAATTAAATTAGCGTGTAAATGGAAGATGTTATGTTATGTTTGAAATTAATGATGTCACACACAATTAAATTGATGTCAAACGTAACATAACCTCTTCAATTTACATGCTAATTTAATTTCAATATGAACATACATTAATAATAAAATTTAAAGATCTTAATTAATGGTGCTAACAAACTGTTATGCTCAAATTGAACGATGCTGACAAGTGTTATGCTTCAATTGAATGGCTATTTAAGGAGTGGTAATCCGACATAAAGTACGATCGTTTTTTAATTCTATTCTTACAATAAAAATCAAGCAATATTGTTTATCAAATAAATGGCCTACACAACAAAAAATGCTCTTGTTGTGATGGTTTTTGTGTTGTGGTTTGTGTTCATGACATCTATTCCGATTTTAGGTATGACATCATTCCTCTTTGTCCGTGTAATTTAGAAAAATTTACGATAAAGCACTATTTAATTACAACATCTATTTTGAATTTCCATCTATACGGCTCTTGGACCAACATGTTTTGGACGGTGTCACGCAATCAGCATCGACTGCTTACAACTTTGCCAAGAACTAGCTTTTGCTACAGGTTCATGCGGAGCAGGGCCTTCATCTCAGTGTTGTTGCCATGATTAAATTATTATTGTGTTAATATCCACTTTTAAGGAATATATATTCCGTAAACCACCAAATAATGGATTAATAGTTATAAACTATTCCCGTGGAATACTCATGCAAGTACACGTCTACCATACTAAATATTATTGTTTTATCATACTTTTTCAAATTTATGTTTGGGTAAACCACCATTGCCTGAGGGATCATCGGCCACCATCGCCGGAAGGGACTACTGTGAGTTATAGGGTGGAGCCCGGTTAATATTTATCCCAGATCTTTCACCGTGATGTATCAAAGGTCGTGACACTTCGATTTTTTTACTTTTGTGATTAATTGCAATAAATAGCAAAGTTTATTAATTTCTTTGTTTATTTTAGCCATATCTTGTCAACTTTGACAAGCTTTTTATGTTTCATAACCAGTTATGATGCTTGGGTCATGGTTAACAAATTGGTATCTCATTGCAATTGTGGGTAAGCTTCTTAGCTGTCATTTACCAAGTTTTATGTTTAATTTACCTTGATATGACCACATCATTAGATTTTTAGAAAGGTGTTTATAGTCATAAGATAAAAGAGAAATATTGATTTTCAACATAGGCCTCGCCAATTAAGTCATTTACCAAGTTTCAGTGTATTATCTACATGGCTAGTTATTTATGAGTAAAAGTAGCAATTTTGATCCAAATACTAAAAAATAGATTGATTCGGGTTATATTTTAGGGTTAAGTACAAGAAAGAACCATGCTTATTTTAATTTGGGATATTAATAATCTTCAGATGCACTAATCAAGATGCTAATGAAGATGTTAAAACTAATGTACATGCAATTATGATGGCGATCTTTCAATCATACATATTTCACATATTATTGATATAAAAATATTCTGATATGAAGGCGTGAACACCAAATGAAAAGGGAAAATGCAACAACCACGAATAAGAAGGTAATAAGTGCCGATAGTACTGCTTCTGTTAGTTGTAGATAAGGACGAAAATTTAAGTCAGTAGCAACATGACAAAAAAATTGAAGGAAAACTCAAGGCCGAAGCTACAATTATACATGTTATTGAACTGTGAATTAAATAAAAATGCTCAAATGCGTATTGGATTATTGAAGTTGAATTCGGAGATATGATGTTGGTAACTTGTTTTTTAAATGTTCGGTAGAGTTAAAAAAATAGTATTTATAGATAGATAGTTTTATGGTATATGTTCATGTTGGATGTTGTATACTGAAGCAAAAAGTAATCTATTATAGAATAAAAAAGATAATTGCTAACAAACCTTGTCATAATTTATCATACTTTAAATATAGAAGGTAAGTTGCCGAGCCTAATAAATCTATGAAACAAAAGTAAAAATTAAGTTCATGTAATTGTTTGATTTAGGCATCTATGATAATAAATTTTTTTTTATTTAGATTTTGAGTTTCAAGAATTTTAGGATTGTACTGTCAATCATTTTCTCATCAAATACATTGCACTTTGCAAAATTTACAGCATTATAGCATTGTACATTTTCTTTCTTAGTCTTGCAAATCTGGTATTGATTTTTTTCCATATTAGTTAGGAATGCAACGAAAGAAGTGAGAAGAAGTAATGACATTGAGAGTGCTTTTTATGATTTATATCTAGACAAGCTTTGTTATCGGGTCCCAGAACTATTTTCATAAATAAATTTACACGTCTTTTACAAAATTTAAGATGCCTGACGCATATTGAGTTTTTTATTGACGTAATTTTACATATTAAACTATATTTCATTTGCCATAAGTTTTAAATTCTACAAATGTGATGACGTTTCAAAACGTAAGCAAGTAAGGTTATATTTAATAAGTCACATATATCTTATAAACTAACTTATTTTTTTGATTTTTTATTATTGTAAAGTGTAATCTCTAACAAGGTAAAAAAAAACCATTCTAGATATCAACTAAAATCAACGTTCTAACAAGGCAAAAGTCTTACTATATTTTTTAATGCAAATGTAAATTTGACTTGTATATGTATCTCAAATTTTATGTCTCATTTTTTTTATTTGTTAATTTAAGTATGTCTCATTCAGTTTTGAATATTTATTTTATATAAATATTGTTTTATCTTATTTACTTAATCTATTCAATTATATAGAAATAATAAATTATTATTTATATATAATATAATAATCTTATTTATAACACAAGACCATTTTTGTTTATTCAAATATCTACTATCAGGAAACATTTTTTACGTACAAACAGTTGTATATTGCATTATCCAAAATTAAATTTATTGAATAATTTAAATTATTAATTTTAGATAAATATATTAAATTTACTAATTGATCATCAAATAATATGTTTAAAACAAGTTTTTACAGTTTTGTGAATTATAACTCAATGGTTTCATTTTTGATATTAATGCTTTAAATCTTTAATTAATTAATTTACTTTTAATTTCAATAATCTTATTTTAAAATATCGTTTTATAATTCATTATTTCTCATTACAAGCAATTTAATATATTTATTTATAGAACATAAACTGTTTTATATTTTTTGTAATTATGTTAATGGACTATATTTTCGTTATTTATCCATCTAAAATACTATTTTTTTTAACTCTACCAAATGGTTAAAAAAACAAGTTGCCAACATGACATCTCCGATTTTAACTTCAATAATCCAATATGCATTTTGGCATTTTTTCTATTTAATTCACAATTCAATAACATGTACAATTGAAGCTTAGGCCTTGAGGTTTCCTTCAATTTTTTTTTCTCATGTAGTTACTGACTTAAATTTTCACCTTTATCTACTACAAACAGAAACAACACTACCGAAACTTATTTCCATCTTATTCATGGCTGTTGCTTTTTCCTTTTTCATTTGGTGTTCATACCTTCATAACAGAATATTTTTTTATCAATAATATGTGATATATGTATGATTGAAACATCACCATCGTAATTGTATGTACATTGGCTTCAACATCTTCATTAGCATCCTGATCAGTGCATCTATAGGTTATTAATATCACAAATTAATAAATATACATGGCTCTTTCTTGTACTTAGCCCTAAAATATAACCCAAATCAATCTATTTTTTAGTAATTGGATAAAAATTGCTACTTTTACTCTTAAATAACTAGCCGTGCAGATAATACACTAAAACTTAGTAAATGAGTTAATAGGTGAGGCCGATTTTGAATATCAATATTTCTTCTTTTATCTCATAACTATAAATCCCATTCTAAAAATCCAATGATGTGGTCATAGCAAGGTCAATTTAAACGTTAAACTTGGTAATTGACAGCTAAAAAGCTTAACCACAATTGCAATGAGATACCAATTTGTTATCCATGGCCCAAACAGCACAGGTCATTATGAAACAGAAAAAGATTGTCAAAGTTAACAAGATATGACTATAATAAACAAATAAATGAATAACTTTGCTATTTCTAGCAATTAATCCCAAAAGAAAAAATATCGAAGTGTTGCGACCTTTGATAGATAACGGTGGCAGATCCGGGATAAATGTTAATCGGGTTCCACCCTATAACTAACAATAGTCCCTTCCGGCGACGGTGGCCGAAGATTCCTTAGGCAACGGTGGTATCCATACATAAATTTAAAAAATTAAGATAAAACGATACTATTTAGTATGGTAGACGTCTACTTACATGACATAGGGGACTCACAAAACCCAAGGTTTAGCCAAACATAAATTTAAAAATGGAATAAAAATTACATAAATAGTAGTAGTAATGTCAAAGTATGAAGTTGACAAAGACGTTCGACAGAGATGTAACTTCTTGGAATACCCCATTAAAGGATTTTATTATATCTTTATTGTTTCCCTTTTATAAAAAATAACATTGAAGGTTACAAAGTGATCTTGAGAGTTATTAAAACTGGCTTCGGCTATGTAGTATCTTATGAAATTTTTTGGTGTTATGTATATTTGTTTATTAGTTACACATTCAAAAAAATAAACGAACCTTACTAAACGAAAATGTTTTTAATAGCTTTATGGGATTATCATGTAGTTTCACGTAACATCTATTTTTCCACGAAAATATTTTATCATTATTAACCCATTATTTCATGGTTTACGGAATATAAATTCATTACAAGTGGATATTAATACAATAGTAATTTAATCATGGCAACAACACTCAGATGAAGGCCCTCCTTTGCATGAACCCGTAACAAAAGCTAGTTCTTGGCAAAGTTGTAAGCAGTCCATGTTGATTGCATCACACTGTCCAAGACATGCTGGTCCAAGAGCTGTATAGATGTAAATTCAACATAAATGTTGTAATTATATCATGCTTTTTGGTAAATTTTTCTAAAATTCCCAAAAATAGAGGAATGATGTCATACCTAAAATCGGAACACATATCATGCAAATAAACGATAACACCAAAACCATCACGACAAAAGAACTTTTTGTTGTGTAGGCCATTGGCTTGAGGAACAATACTTATTGATTTTTATTGTATTAATAGAATTAAGAAAGGATGATACTTTATGTTGGATTACCACTCCTTAAATAGTCATTCAAGTGAAGCATAACACTTGTTAGCACCATTCAAGTTGGGCATAGTAGTTTGTTAGCACCATTAATTACTATCGTTAAATTTTATTGTTAATGTATGCTCATATTGAAATTAAATTAGCATGTAAATGGAAGATTTTATGTTATGTTTGAAATTAATGATGTCCCACACACTTAAATTGATGTCAAATGTAACATAACCTCTTCAATTTACATACTAACTTAATTTCAATATGAACATACATTAATAATAAAATTTAAAGATCTTAATTAATGGTGCTAACAAACTGTTATGCTCAAATTGAACGATGCTGAGAAGTGTTATGCTTCACTTGAATGACTATTTAAGGAGTGGTAATCCGACATAAAGTAAGATCGTTTTTTAATTCTATTCTTACAATAAAAATCAAGCAATATTGTTTATCAAATAAATGGCCTACACAACAAAAAATGCTCTTGTCGTGATGGTTTTTGTGTTGTGGTTTGTGTTCATGACATGTATTCCGATTTTAGGTATGACATCATTCTTCTCTGTCCGGGTAATTTAGAAAAAAAAAATTACGATAAGAATGAGTTAATTACAACATCTATTTTGAATTTCCATCTATACAGCTCTTGGACCAGCATGTTTTGGACGGTGTGACGCAATCAGCATCGATTGCTTACAACTTTGCCAAGAACTAGCTTTTGCTACAGGTTCATGCGAAGCAGGGCCTTCATCTCAGTGTTGTTGCCATGATTAAATTTTTATTGTGTTAATATCCACTTGTAAGGAATATATATTCCGTAAACCATCAAATAATGGATTAATAGTTATAAACTATTCCCGTGGAATACTCATGCAAGTACACGTCTACCATACTAAATAATATTGTTCTATCATACTTTTTCATATTTATGTTTGGGTAAACCACCAGGGATCTGTCACACCCCAACCAACGGCGGAAACACCGGGGTTGCGACTTAAACATTTGGATCATAGTCAGCAACATATAAAGAAATAATAACATAATTTATTCGACATTACATTCATCCGAAGTATGAATATGGCAAAACACACTGTTTAATAGTCCAAAAGCGTTATACGCGGATTTCAATTTCTTACAACATAAAAGTGACAAAAGGCTACCATAGAGCCAACAATTTATTTTCAACGTCAAACTCATCATCCTCACACGTGGTGAGAGTTCTTCTGGCCACCTTGAACACCTAGAGACACATACATTTTGAAAATACATCAACAATAATGTTGGTGAGCTTTATAGGTTTTCTTTTGACTCCGAAGATTTTTATAATTCAAAATAATGTTTCCAAAGACCCGTAAATTATAAAGCATATTTTTCTATTCAACCACTTTTTAAACGATAAATATTAGTCATTTTCATGACGATTTTTATTCTCTGGATCTTGTCCGATACGAAAAGTTATGTCGTAAGGAGAAGTATATAACGTCCTAACACTCGACACTCTCGGTCCCAAATTGGGAGAATTGACTCAATCTATATTTATACATCTTCGAATAAAAATCTTCAATATATTAATTTGCCCATAACCGAAACTATTCGTAACTCCTCCACAAGCCGCATAGGCACAATAAACAAGCCACACAGGCACAATACAAATAAACATAGAGGAATCGAGATCGTTACTAACGTTTAAAAGCAGTCGTATAGTAACGAAGAAAGAAACACTTGACGCCTGTTGCCTCGTCAGACGAAGTTGTAGCTAGCAACCACAGACGGAAAATAACCATTCGTATAAATCTTTCCATAAGAATTAGATCTACACCAAAGTTCTTTATTATAAATCTATGTCGTGTACATAGACCTACAATATATGATTCCTCCTGGATTAACGGTTATAGAGCTAGGTGTCGATTTCAAGATCTGATCCTTACAAGGGAAAAACACACCATCAACAAACTCTCTCCTTCACCCCTTTCGATACATTCCTCCCACAAGCACACACGAGATACACAATCCGTGAAATACATGGCAATAAAAATATGTCGCTTCCAATGATCACCAACGTGAGTCTTAATTTATTTATGATTTTATTTTTAGCTAGTGCATTTAGTTAAATATTAAATTTAACCTAGCTTTCGAATAAAGAGACGGTAGTGACTCAAATAATTTCAATCTACCAACCGATAGGAAAAATTAGCGTAGTTGAGTACTTCATACGTGTCGGTGTTACGTCGGTTGACCGGTTGTCGCTTAAATCGAATATTTTTGTATTCTTAATATTTACTTAATGTTGAAAACGTATTATTTTCGTTTGCAAGTAAACTTTAGTCTTAAAAATACATACACATTATTTTTCTATAAGATTTCGTATCATACCATAGTAAATAACTACTTGTGCTTTATTCTCATACTCTTGTTATTATTATTTTATCATCTCGTTTAGTTCTTTACTATTAATACTTGGTGAATAATAAACTTAATTCCCTAGTATACACAAGTCATAGAGATATGCCTATTATGACAAGTTAAAAGTGTTCATCTATCAAGATTTCGACACAAGTTCTTAACGATGCCTTTATTTATTCCGACAATTAATATAACACTAGATTACTCTTATCTAACATTTTTGTTTACACAAGTGCTTGTAAATAAGTTTAACATTTTATAAAATTCTTGTGTATAACCATTACTCATCAACATCTTTTTAACAAACTTTATTTGTAAAAAAAAAAAAAAAATTTAGTGTATATAATAAACATTGTCTAACAGTTTTGTATCTATCACTACTGTGCATGCATGTAACACATAAATTTTAGCCATATTAATATATCAAAATACTCAGGTATGTGTCTCCCCCCAAATAAGTGTAAATGTAAAAACAGGGCCATAAAGACTCACATTTGGAGCGTGATTTTCGGTTCGGTTTCGTTTGACTTCCCGGAAATTTCTTGTCGTAACTCTTCACCAACTCTTGGAAGAAGACCCGGAACTACTCCATCCCGCTGAAATGATGATTATGGGACTGTTTTAGGGTCGAAAAGGTAAGAAAACACGAAGTGTTTCCACCGTTATAGTGGTTCTCGACAGTAAAAAGGTGGCAGGGGCTGTTTCGGCAGCCTCTTTGCCTCCTTAATTTTCTATTTTTGAAGCTGTTTCGCACAAGGGAGAGAGCAACAGGTAGGGGCGAAAACAGTGGGTGTTTGGAGCTTATTTTGACAGCAAAGACATGGAAAAATTAACAGCTCTGTTGCCCTCTTTTCTTGCTGGAAAAACAGGTCCACAACACCTCCAAATAGAGGTGTTCTTGGGGATCACGATGCAGAAAAGAAAGAACAGGTAGGCTAAGGTGTTTTGGTGAGTTTGGGGCTGAAATATGTAAAGGAAAAGAATTATAACATAGCTGGGTATTTATGCTTCAAGATGGATTTGACTCAGGGGCGGAACACAAGCATTAAAAGTAGGGGGCCGGAACTCAAACTTCATAATGGAACTATATAACAAGGTTAATATGGTTTAAGTTATAATATGCTTAAAATGTAAAAAAGAAAAAATAATAAATATATAAAATAAAATAAAAATGTATGTGAATCTTTCGTCAATAATTGCTAATTGTTAGAATCAAGCAACAAAACCAAACTTGATTTAAAGAGAATTTTTTTATACAGTGTGCAAGTGCATTTTAACTTTTAAAATGTCTCTCATTAGTAATTACAATAGTAACCAACTCACTTTTTTTAATAACTAACTCATTAAAAATTTAAAATAAAGCAAATGAGCTATAAATAAATGAAAACAATAAACAAAATTTTGACAAAGTCCTATACATAAAAATAAATTCAAATAACCTATTAAATTAAGCACCGTAAAAGAGTTTATAAAACAAAAAGTAGTAACGAAATTAATTGAATTGAATTAGCCAACAGCCCAATAAAACAAAACCCACCTACAAATACCTAATTTTCATTCTTTTTGGCGTTTTGGGTCTTTGGGAGGAGCGGAAGATTAAAGAAATTATGCAGCACGCCGGTTCTCTGCAAATCGTTGTATAATGTTGAAATATCTCATCTCATCTTTTGTAAAAAATAGCAAATCATCAATCGTTGGATTTATCATATTTTTTCTGCTATCTGCCAAACTATTTCCTGCTTTTATCGTTTCATGTTCCTAAGTTCTAACTTCTTCTTTTCTCCTCATATGTATCACTGTTTGTCTGTCCACCGGAATCATTTGTATTCTTCCTTGTAAGGCTAAAAACGGGTGGGCCATGGCCTCCCCTAGCCCCTTAAGGCATCCGCCCCTGATTTGACTCATGGAGGAAAGTTAGAAGTTTTGTCATACATTCATCATGCATGTGTACTAGTAACTTACATGAGTGGAGAAATATGTGAAGGAGAAGAGAAGGAATAAAGAAAATCGTGAGGTGAATGTGTTTGTGTGTTAAAGTCTCTCATCTACATTGTACTTCAAAGTGAAGCTTTAAAGCAACCTCCTTTAATGAGTGGTACTTGCTTCATAATGAGAATTTGAGGCATTTGTGGTTGGAAGGCCTTAATTACGTGAATAGGAAGAGGTAGACTCTTAGGAGTTGACTTGGCCTTCAATGCTAGTTCTAGATATATTTAGAGTTGATTGTATGTACTAGTTCTTAAATGGGTGTAGTGTCAAAAATGGACTTTTAGGTTTTTATGGATAACTTTCGAGATATCTAACCATATACACACATACATACATCTCATACTTATTTATTTTGTTATATTTTTGTCATATAATAATCAAGTCCCCTTATTATTACATATAACATTTGTAAGGACTTAGATATTTTTATAAATATAACTCTTTCACTACATAAACATAATTATATGTATCTTATTGGTTTTATTAGCATATAACTAGTCGTATACGAATAATAATCTATATTAAACGATTCTTATTGCTAAATATATATATTTATATTTTTAAGAACATCGTACATTAAGTCCTCCATCAAAA